ATTATGAGGAAAACAGGATGGGTCCCACGATAGAGAGAAATGGTGGAGGAGAGGGTCACTGAGAGAGTCCTGGAAGAGGCAAGCCATGAGCTGAGACCCAAGGGAGGAGAAGTAGCCAGGCATGGGGAGATCTGGGGGAGGGGCATTCAAGACAGAGGGCAGAGCAGGTGCAAAGGCCCTGAGGTGAGATTGTGTCTGGTTGGTTGGAGGAATATCAAGGAGGCTGGTGTGGCGCAAGCAGAGTGAGAGAGAGGGGAGATGATCGGGGGCTGTGAGGAGACTGAAGGATATCGAGAGGGGTCTGAGATACAGAGAAAGACACTAAGAGAGGGAAACTGTGAATGAGAGGGAGAGATGGGATCCTGTGGGGCTGGACATAGGTCCAGCAGGACCCAAGGCTCCATGAGCATCTTGTAGCTACGGAGGTCCCTTCCTCACCCATGAACCCCACAACCCTAGACCCCTCTCTGATGCCCCAACTTCAATGGTCAGTGAGGTGGCCACCTACCCACCCTGTGCTGAGAATGATGTCAGCACACAATAGGTATTCCATAAGTGTGAATGAGTCAGTACAAGTCAGAGGAAGGGAGGGAGGGAGGAGATTGTGGGCTGGAGTACAGTCCCTGTGAGGTCTCCTGGCCGCAAGGAGGATTGTGGGCTTAACTCAAAGGCCAGTGGGCAGCCATGGGAAGGCTTTGAGCTGAGGAAGGACATGATCTGATTTATAATTTTAAGAATCCCTCTGATACTGCCTAGGAGAGCAGGGATGGTCAGGGCAGGAGTATAGGTGGCAGAAGTCCAGGGCAGCATCCAGACATGAGATTGCTGGGCTCATGGGAGTATTGGGGAGGTTTGGGTTCATTCTGGAGTCTGAGCCTAGAGGACCAACAAATGGACTGGACACGTGGAGTCAAGAATGTGACAAGAATGGTCCAGAGTTTGGGGCCTGGCCAGCTGGGTGATGGCGGAGCCTTCCACCATGCTGATGGAGAAGCAGATCTCAGGGTGGGAAACTTGCTAAATGTGAGATGCTCACAAGGCACCCAATAAGAATACCCAGTACAGTTGCACATTTGAGTTGGAGCTCAGGGGAGAGGTTGGGCTGGTGATACAAACAGGATAGACATCAACATGAGATGGGGTATAGCCACTTGGGGCCAGAGTGTAGACAGACGGTAAAGGGCCACCTGGCTTCCAGGACCAAAATCAAGACATCAAACCCAGGGGTCCATCCTCCACATGTCTATCTATCTCTGACTCCAGTCCCTGTTATCAGAATAGCAAGCAATGGTATGTGTGGGGAACATGGAATTCAGAGTCCTTGGGACACTCTCATCTTCTCCCCACCCCACCGACAGTTCTGTTGTCAATGACCTTGCCCTGGGTACTAGGGCAGGGTGGGGGATGGGAGAGTGCTGAAGCAGACGAAGTAGGACATGAATCCTGTGCCTGAGGTTCTCATAACTGGAGGGAAGAGTACTTACGTGATTCCTGAAGGCCTACAGTGTACTTGGCAATGTGCTATGTGCCTGCCATATGCTATTTCTCTTAATCTTCTGCAACCTGAGGTGGGTGCAATACTCTGCTCATTTTATGGATAGGAAGACTGAGAGACTGGGGAGACAAGGCTGGGATATGAAGTGAGGCTGGACCAACTCTTACAATAGGCTGTTTCTGCAACACAGATCTTCACGTAGTCATTTACTCCCTCAACAAACACAGCCTGGATCCACAGGCATTTCCATGCAACGTCCAAGGTTGGGGTCCTACCTGGAGTCTGGGAGGAGGATGTGGGGCAACAGAACCCAATCTCTAAGGTAAAAGCTGGGACAAAGTAAGGGAGATGACTAAGGGGGAAAGGGGGTCAGATTGGGATGTTGGGAAAGACTTCCTGGAAGAGGGGAAGCTTAAGAGTGAGGAGGTCTCGCTAAGCATGATGGGACTTGGATGAAGGGAGTTCCTAGCAGAGAGCACAAGTGCAAATGTTCTGAGGCTGGACCTTCCAATGGACCTACTTGTGGCTCTCAGGCTGGCAGTGACTAAGAGAAATTGATGAGGGCAATCTTGGTTTATCTCCTTTAACATGGAAATTAAAACAAAAAAAACCCTTTTTTCCTAGAGAACCAATGGGACAAGGTCAGCGCTGATTCCTTTTGAGTTCCCAGCCCTGACCTACAACGCTGTAGGGCGAGACTAACTAGAGGAAGTGAAGGGATTGGACTGGCCTGGGGAGGGTTGATAATAAAAGAGAGCGATTGGATTGTTCAAGATGATGAGGCCTCGAGGAGGCAAAGAAATGCGGCTGATTCAGATGAGGTGGCCGGTTGGGCTCCGGCCTCAGAGGCGGGGCTCAACCCAAAGTCCCCAGAGTGACCAGCAGGGGGCAGCGCTGGGCCAATGGGTGATCCTAAGGCTGGGGATCACCTAGAGCCAGGGACCATCTAGAGGGGAGTTAATTTATTTAGCAAGTGCCTGCAGTGTGCCAGGCGCTGCGCATAACTCTACAAATATTCACTCGTTTAATCCCCATAATTAATTTTATAGGCAAGAAACTGAGAACGAAAATTTTAAGTCATATACCCAAGGTCACATTGCAAGTAAGTGGCAGAGCCCAGCAGTCCAGCTTGGGCCCTTAACCACTACACTCCCAAACCCCCTAAAATGATAGTTTAAAAAAAAGTGAGGGCTCCCTCTCAACAATTTTTGAGCTTTTCTTGTTTACCTTACATCTCCCCAGATGTGTACAATTATTTCCATTTTACAGATGAAGAAAACTGAGGCATGAAGAAGTGACTCTGGGAGCGGATGTGGTTCTATGCCCAAAGTGAGAATTCCAAGAGCTTGTGAGGGTCGTCCACCACTGGGTCTGGGTCCAGCTTGGCAGAGGGCCCCCCAAATCCCCAGCCTCTCCTCTCCAGCCTCCAGGCCCTTGCTGTCACCACTGCCCTAGCCAAGCCCCTTGACGTGCCCCAACTCCTAGCTGCACCCTCATTCATGCCACCCCTCCGTGTCCTGCTTCCCTACCCGAGACTGGCTGGAGATCCCATGGACTCGCACTCAGCCTGGGGGAGGTCTGAGAACACTGGACAAAGGGGCTTCAGTGATGTGATTTTTGACAGGTAGGAAGACAATCAGAGATGCCATAGCATTTGCCCAAACTGCCCAGGCAGTATGAGGCACAGTTCAAAGCCAGGGCTTCAGTCTCTTATGCCTCTAGGACTACAACTACGGCACTGTCAGGCCGGGCTGTGTCAGCCTCCCCCACCCACTACCGTGCCCTGGGGTCCCAAGAATGCCAGAGCCCTATGAAAATGTTTGAGACCCACATGCATACACACTATGGCTCCAGAATGTAAAAGGGGAACTGCAAAGTCCAAATGAATTGATGTTTAATTATGTCAACTTTATTGGACTTAAAAAAATATATATGCACCTGGAAACAGGCCTGGATTTGCAGTGCTCTCCCTGGGAGGAACCCAGGTAGATCGCCTCCAGCTCTCTACTCTGGAGAGCTGCCTGTGGCCAATTTCCAGAGCAAAATGATAAATTACGGGTGAGCGCTTAGCACGTGCAGGGGCTGGTTCCTGTTCCGTGTGTTTTAATTTGTTTAATCCCAATGCCGTCCCTAATAGGCGGGGCTGTTATGATGCGGGTTCAAGTAATGGGGAAACAGAGGCACAGAGGGATCAAAGAGCTGGAGGACACAGCTGGGATTTGGACTCCACCAGACTTGGGGTCTGCACCCTTGACCCCTGTGTTGTCCTCAGCCTGTGTTTCACGGCAGCGTCATTAGTGGGACCGGAGATGCGGATACAATGGCGACCATTTGACTTAGTTCGGGTCTGGATGTGAGGACGCGGCGTAGCCTGGGGGTCCAGATCTGGACGGAGGTGGGAAACCGGATTGGGACTCATCTCGGTCCCCTCCAATCCCCGCCTTCCTCCAGCGACTGCAAGTCACTCAAGGCCGGTTCCCTCCCTCTCTGGACCTCGATGATGCAGCTCCGCCCCGACCACGCCCCGGTGGCCGCCGCTGATTGGACCACGGCGGGTGTAATCGCTATGGCCGTCCTTCACACGACAGCTGGCAGCCAATGAGAGGGCGCACATCGAAAGCTCTGCCCACAAGGCACTTCTTGCATGGTGATTGGCTCCCGATCTTCCCTTCTCCTCTTGCATCCTCCTCCAGACTGGACTTCCCTAGATGTCTTTAGTTCCTCTGACACTCCTCGCCTGAAGGCTTTTCACGCGCTAACTGTTCCCACTGCCAGAAACATCTCTTCCTCTCTCTTCTCCTGTAAAAGCTGCTTTCTCTTTCGCA